AGCCCTGTAGAACTAAATCTCCCTTTCGAACCACCCAGATGGGCAACCTCAGCCTGTCACCATTTTCCAAACTCCTCCTCCAACTGACAGTGAGGTCAAAGCTTGGCATGCTACAGAGGCCAAACCAGACCTTGCACCAGGCCGTGGGTTGGGAGGGCTCCCCACAGGGATGGGACCCAAGACGCTTCTATTTTTAGCCTCAAGGGGGAAAAAAAAACCAACCTCAACCCCAGCACATACAACACGCCTAACAAATATTTGTTTTTATTCTTAAAAGGACTTGGATGGCAGATGGCTGGTTTGGGGGCCTGAAGTGAGTGCCTGTTTGAATACAGGAGATGAGAAGAAGTCTTGACTGTTCCCAAGGCTGCCTGGGATGCAGACATCCTTTTTCAGGGTGCCATCCTACTGCTCATCTCCTGAGCTATAGTTGAGGAGAATGAGGGCCAGATGAGGATCACCCTGTATCTTTCCCAGGATCCAACCAAGACTGGGGTGCCAAGGCGCTCTGGCCTCAGGGAGGGTGTGAGAAGTTTAGATGAACCTCCACACTAGGAGGACAATGCAGACCCACGTAAAGACCACCTCAGAGACGAGGCCCTTGCTCCCTGGGACCCTGGCATAAATGGCCACAATCTGGGGTCTCAAAGTAGCAGTGAGTGGTTCCACTGGAGCAGATGTCTGAAGTCAAGATGTGTACGATACAGAAATCTGTGCACTCTAACAGTGTGCCTGCCCTGTTCAGCTCAGGAACTAAGGTGTCCCTGTGTGTGGCTGCACTGGTGCAATCATCAAGGACATCTTCACACGCCCCTTTGTCCCTGTACTAGATGCCTCTGCCACTGCCTGTCCTTCCACTGTCTCTGGCCTTCCACGTAGGAGTCATTAAGATCATGTCAGGAACCACCTAGGAAATGCTGGGCAACTCTCAGCAGCCTGAACAGAATTGCATGCACCATCTAGGGGAACCTTCCTGGGTCTGGGGATCAGGCCCAGTGTTTTCTCTGAAGGCTGAGACTCTCAGCCTCCTACAGACCACCCGGGCTCTCCCTCAGGCAAGGACTAAGAGCGTCTGTCAGACGCTAGTGGTTGCTGCCTCCACAATTTGGGGTTGGGGAGGAAAGCAAGGCTCATGGCTGAACCACACAGCCTGGCAGGTGGGGTGGTCGGGGCAATGATGAGGATAAGTGGACAGAGTCCCACACATGGGGCTGGATGAGCATCTCTGGGCCTGTGGGCTAGCAAAGGGTGCAGCCCTGAGCCAGGCCAAGATTATCATGGTTGTACAGCATTGGTGTCAAGGGTATGCCCAGGAACTAGTGGCTCCATCCTGCTCTTCTGCGTGAGGACTGTCTGACCTCCATCAGGGACGGTAACAAGTCCCCATCCCTCAGACCCCCTCCCCACCTCCTGACCCACCACGGAGCAGGGAAGGTTGTAATAACCTCCCATGCTGTTCCCTGGAAAGAATCAAGGCTCACCTCAGTCCCTTCCATCTCCCCCCATTCAAAAGTGATCTGTCCCTTGTCTCTACATTTCTCTGTCCTTGCTGCCACTCAGGGAGACCTCAAGAACGTGGAGGTTAGGCTAAGCCGCCACCTTGAGTCCTCTTGGACACCTTTAGTCTGCCTTCTGTTTCCACAGGCTGCTCCTGAAGCCATTGTCTCTGCCGGGCTGGGGATGGTGACTGGTTTATCATCACTGCTGCTCAGGACAGAGCCTAAGGCACAGTAGGAATGTGGGATGTTGAGCCAATGCATGGTGTTTTCCACACGTTGGTTCAACAGCAAGAGGATCTTGGAAAGTAAATGTATCTAAGGACAGACCAAACCTCAAGAAGAAAGAGCTGCTAATGACTTCCTTGGTGGGAAAGTCTCTCCTAGAGGTCACAGCAGCAAATGCCCTAGACCTCCCAATGAGTGAAAGAATGACCCAGGCATGGTGGCACCCACCTGTAATCCAACACTCAGGAGGCTGAGGCAGGAAGATCACCAAGAGTTCAAGGCCAACCTGGGTTATGTAGCTGGAGCCTGTCTCAAAAAATTGTCTAAACCATTGGTCTAACCGCCAATGGTCTAAAGAGATGGCTCAGCCAGTAAGAATGCTTGTTGTGTAAGCACAAGGATCCTCAGAACCTAAATTAAAAGCCAGATGTGTTGTGTGTATGTCTGTAACCTCAACACTGTCTGGAAGGGAGACCCAGCAGTCACTGGGGCTGTTGACCTGCCTAGCTCTGGTTCAGTGAAAGACCCCGCCTCAAGAGAAGTCAAAGTGATAGAGCAAGATGTCCCACATCTTCCTCCCGCCTCCCCATGGCACCTGTACCCATTCACACACACATACAGTACACACACACACACACACACACACACACACACACACACACACATTCACACACTCATACACACACATTCACACACTCATACACACACATACAATACACACACACACACACACACACACACACACTCATACACACACACACTCCCCATCCCTTGGCTGGCTCTCTTTTGCCCAAGGCGACCATCCAATTAAATCCTTTTCATTCATGAAGACACTTTCATGCATCGCCTCCTCCAGGAGGCTACCAGTGCTCCGCAGACAAACTAGGAAGCAGGTACCCTGGAGAGAGCTCCAGAGGCTGTGAACAGGATCCCTCCTTCTCCTCAAGTCAGTTCCCAAGAGCTACTACAGACTGGCCTGGTGAATCAGAGAACAGCAGTCCAGGGATAGAGCACGGCATAGTGAGAGCATGTGGCCTCAGGTCAGCACTTGGTCCTCCCCCACCTCTTAAGTACTCTAAGCCTCAGTTTCTTCATCTATAAAGTGGGGTTATCTTCTGCACAAATTAACCCTTCTGCACACGAGGCATGAGGTAACCTCTGCCTATGCTGCTCATGAATGGCGTGTACCAGACAGTTACCCTGAGTAAGATGAGCTGAGTATGTCTCCTGCTGGACCATCTTCATCTCAGGAAGAGCCTGTAGGGATGGACAAAAGGCCCATCTTTAGCCCAGGAAGTCCAGCTTCCCATAGGTCCTCAGCCTCTGTCAGGGGCGGGGGGGGCATGTCACAGCAGCTCCTGGCAATCCTGGAGTCCTAGCAACCCAAAGGGAAGTTGTTGGGGGAAATGGAGAAGACAGTCATCTACCCACGGGGACCTGTCTTTTCCTTAGGGGAGTGGTGGGCGCTTAGGCCCACCTTTTGACATCAGGGCTGCAAGAGGTCCTGAGAAACGCAGAACAGCTTTGCTCACAAGAAGCGAAGTGTGTGTCAGCGCTCTGGAGGAATGGACCTTCAGTCCTCTGGGTGTTCAGCGGGACTGGGGATTGGTGGGGACGAGGGCTTATGGGCTCTGCTCGGGTCCTGGAACATGCACAGACCTCAACATCATTTGTTAAACATGAAGATCATGCCTACACACACACACACACACACACACACACACACACACACACACAGGTCTGAGGTGCCCAGAAAGCAATGGTCCTGCTGTCGGGGGGTGTGGGATTCCAGGAGATCCCCTAAGATCCCATCTCCCCACCAGTCCACACAGTCATTAGTGGATGAATCTCACTCTGGAAGCTGTGGGGCTAGAGGGGACCCAAGGGGCCTGACAGCATTGGGGGTGGGGTGGGCAAGACAGTCCTGCGGGTGGGGGCTCAGAGAAAGTGCCCGGACCATCAGCAAAGGCTGGAGGCGGGCAGCTCCCAGGGTGGAGCCATTGAGAAAGTGGCTTCTTTTTAATTAAAGTTCTGCAGAGGGCTTGAGCTCCCAGGAAAGGGAAAGTGTTGGTGCAGAATAATTAGCCGGACAAAAGGCAAATCCTCTTAGCTTCTCCCTGGGCGATTACAGGTTAATTGGTTGACGTCCCTGCCCGCCAGGCCAGACACCGGGCTTTCCCGTACCTCCTGCCGTTTGCTGACCCCGAGGCCACACCTGCCCTGCTGTCCAGCGTGGGAACCCAGCGGGGCTTCAGTCGCCCTCGGCTCGGCCCCTGCCCCACCGGGCCCTCGGCTGAGCCTCCAGCTTCTCCAGCAGCTGGGGAGCCCCGGAGCCCCCCTCAAGACAGGAGTAACAGCGTCGTCGTCGTCGTCGTCGTCGTCATCCCGAGGAGTCATGCTGTCCGTCATCTCTGCCAAGGCTGCCCACCTCTCCAGTGATGCCAGCTGGCAGAGTGGAAGCCTCTTTCTTGCTCTTTCTCCCACCTAGGTCGGCTGACCACCGGCTTGAGGGACAAGAGCTGCCCCCACGGTGGTGACAGGGTGGCTCGAGCTGCCCATCGCATCTTGCTAGCTGATGAGACTGAAGGTGGAGACGAGGAAGGAAGGTGGGAAGAAGGGATGAAGAGGGACTGATAGCCGGAGCAATGGTGGTATGGAGAGCGTGAACCTGATGGTGGATGGTAAGGGCCCATAGGCCTCTTTCCCACCCTGGCTAACCGTCACTAAGCCTCGTGTGTTTTCCTGCCCCCATGTGAAGCCTGGCCGTGGCCTTCAGGAGACCCTGAACCACATCAACTCCTCTTCTTCCAGCCTGCCTTCCTGACCACACCATAGACAGTCAGAGGTGCAGCACTGGCCTCTGGATTGGGCCCAGGATGCCACTGGAGAGAGAAGAGGTCAAGGCCTGGCCAGAGAGCATACAAGATGTGTGTGGCTCAGCCCAAGGCCTGGCCAGAGAGAATACAAGATGTGTGTGGCTCAGCCCAGGTGTCTTGGGATGGACGCTTCCTCTTGCCTGCCAGGCATAGGCAAGATCGTGGGGCTTGGAGAGCCATGGGCCTGTCCCTGAGGTCTCTGAGGGGCTCCGGGGGCAACCCTGGGCACTTGTGTGCTGCCCCCACCCCGGCAGGCTATGAGTCAGCCCACAGCTGGGCTCAGCAGAGGCCGCACTGTGACGGGGTTTCCAGTCTCAGAAGCAAGACAGCTGTTTATTTTTCTTGCAGTAAAGGAGAGGGCAGGGGTGGGTTGGAGGAGCTGACCCTGCTGGTTCTCACACTGGCCCAGGATCCCTGGAAGGCCCTGGAAGGGAAGAGACTGAAGGAGCAGACTCTGGAGCAGGGGGGGGGGCCTCCGGGCCTCCCTGCCACACTCCTGGGGCAGCCAGCCAAAGCCAGTGCCGCAGGCCAGTTCCTGGAGCGGGATGCTGGGGTTTCCGAGGTCGGGAAAGTACTGGCAAGGCTCTTTTCATGATGTCACCGCCTGGTCTGGCCCAGCCCGAGCCCTGTCACCACCAGGGAGGGATGTAGTGTGCCCTGGGGGAACTCAGAGCTGCCTGGAAGAGGTGCTCTGGGAGAATTCAGGTGCCTACCCTTCCCCCCACCCCCCCCAGGAGCTGAGACCATTAACTTTGGAGACTCTGGTGTACGGCAGGGCAGCGACGACATCTCCCTCCCCGGCTTCTGGGTCGAGCTGAGCCTGTGTGGAGGGGGTGTTTCCTGAATCAGAAGGCAACCTTCCAAGACACTGTGATTCATGCTTGGAGGGCTGCTGACCCCCAAACTCAGCTATCTTTGTGAGCAAAGAGACCCTTTCCCCAGCCAGAATCAGGACCAGAGCTTGTGAATGAGACCGTATGTCATCCACAGTTGGGTCTCAGCTGCGAGGGACGAAGTCCTCTTTAGTGAGGAGCATGCATCTTGTCCCGTCTGAGATCTCCACTTCCCTTCCACCAAGCCTATATATTTTTTTTTTCTGGAATTTTCCAATAACATGAAACCCACAGGGAAGTGGGCACAGCAGAAATGGATAGCCCAGAGAGACAGAAACCAAATCTTCCCTGTAACCATCCATCCAGAAGGTGGACATCACCCAAAAGCCTGAACACCCTCTGGCCATTGACCCCTTGAGGGTACATGCCTGACAAGAAAGTTGTGGCCTCCTGACACGCCTGTCTCCTGTCTGACCCACGCATGTACCTGTTCCCAGGAACATCTGTGCTGGACATGTATGAGGGTCCCCAATGCTGCCCCGTGTGGCTAAATCTCAGGCTTTTTACATTTTAGAATCAATTTCTCTTTAGAGTAGTTTTGCCTTTACAGAAAGACTAAGCAGAGACCACAGAGTCCCAGCATACCCCCGGCTCCCCGTTCCTAACGACTTGCATTCGGGTGTTGCTCATTCCAATTGACTATCATTCACTTGCTCACCTGTCGAGGGACAGCTCTCTGGCAAATCTTACGAGACACTTGTTAACTATGAGAAAGGGTCAACACCACGTTTTGGAAAATAGCATGGTTGGAGGGGCTCTGCCTATAGTTCCCTACAGCCTTGACGTCCCCAAGATGCTTTCTAGGCCCCAGGAGGCCTCCGCCTCTGGGCAGCACGGTGGTCAGGTGGAGAGGACACATACATCCTCCCCTGGGGATGAGTCTCTTTCTGGGGTCGGCAGCATGCATGGCCTTGGCAGGGCAAAATTATTTGAATGTGAAGCCTTTCATCAGGCCTGGGGCAGTCAGTCCTCCTGAAGCACCTAGATGGGGCTAAGGTCATTCTCTCGATGCCATCCAGAGATGCTGTAAACACAAGCCAGGTGAGGCTGACTTCAGCGCAGTGGGATTCAGACAGAGCTCAGCCTGGCGTGCTGAGGACACCCTCCACATGTGGGGCGCACACTGAGCTTTTATCCCACTGACAGCACCAGGGTTGTTCTCATCAGGTGTTGCCCCAAACACTGAGCTATGACATCACTAGGTGACAGGACTTTCCTGGTCCATCGCAATCTTAGGGAGGCCTGTGACATACGGAGCTGGCCACTGACTAAATGTGGCGATAGTGTGTGTGTGTGTGTGTGTGTGCAGCCATCCTCCCCCTATATCATGACATTTGACACTTTCCTACTTAGGACAATGTGCCCTCTCTGGCCAGGTGACTCTTAGGAGGTAGCAGAGTCCCAGCTTGGACAGGCCTTGGAGTGCCCACTGACCACCCGAATGCCACCCCTGCACTGACCCTGCACCTCAGAAATAATCATCCTCTGCAGCTGAATCCCCCTGCGCTTAAGAGCAGAAGTCGTTCAAAACAACAAATGTCTGTGAGACCCTGCCTGCCTGGCCTGTTGCACATCACCTCACCAACCTGTCTAAAGCACCCCTAGAGCAGGCCTGTGGGGTGAGGTGCATTAGGCCTGGCCATGGCTTCCATTCCTAGGGATCTTGATCCAGGGCAGCAGAGAAGAGAGTTCAGATAGCCCCTGGAATTTGACCCTGAGCACACTGGGGTCTCTTCTTGTCTGTCCTCCACCAAACCTCCCCAATGTTTCCCTCCAATAACCACACTCACCAGTGCTGTATACAGGCCATCTTGTTGCCAACCCTGGGGTGGGTATGGGTAACAGTCCTCAAGAAGAGACAGAATGTCCACCATCTGCAGAAGTTGGCCAAAGCCATGACATCAGAGGTGATGGCGGGGGTGGGGGTGGGGAATGAGTGTAGAGCCCCAGCTCAGGGCCTGAGCCCTGGGGGAACAAGAGCCTCTGTTTAGACCGCCTGCCACCCTATCTCAAGACAGGAGTCTACTCAGTACAAATCCCAGGATATCCCATGCTGGCCTGAGCACCCCAGAATCAAGAACCCCTAATCTTCAAGAAGGGACCTCGGGCAGCCTAGAGCTGGGCCGGAGGAGGGGGTATCATTTGGATAGGAAATATCTCTACAGGCTCATGGGTTGAAAGCTTGGTTCTAACCACTGTCCTGGGTTTTGACAGGTTCTAGAAACTTGGCGAGATGGAGCCCGGCCTGAGTAAGTAGGTCATCACGGGGTCCGGGGCTGCCTTCGAGGGTTACACTCGGTCTGCAGGCTCTGCCTCGCTTTCTGCTTCCTGTTCGACCTGAGGTGGGCAGCCTCACTGGCCACAAGCTGTGGCAGCGATAATGTTCTGCCCAAGAATATGGGGCCAAGCAGCTGCGGGCAAGACCCTTTGACCTCGTGAGCCCAAATAAGCCTCTCTTCCTTGAAGTTATTCGAGACAGGTTTTATTGTGTTATAATGACAACAGAAGAAACCAATGGAGAGAGGAAAGGGTGGGGGTTGGAGAGATGGCTCAGTGCCTAAGAGCATGTCCTGCTATTATAGAGGACCTGAGTTCGGTTCCTAGCACCCATGTAGGAGGGGGGTTTGATTATGAAATATCCCTACAGGCTCACAACGGCCCCCAACTCCAGCTCCTGGTGATCCCATGCCTTCTTCTGGCCTCTGTGGACATTCAAACTCATGTATACATGGCCACACACATAATTAAAAAGAAAAAGAAATCTTTTGAAAAGAAGATGGTTAGGAACGGGATGTAGCTGGAGACACGGGAGTTTGGACTCTGGGCAATAGTGAGCCATAAACCACTTCTGCACTGGGGGTGAGGGGTGGGGGGGTGGAAGGAGCTCACTCAGATGGGCCAGGCTTGTTCTCTGTGTCCACAAGCCCCTCCCAGGCTGCCCATTCCCTTGACCAAGTGGAAGCTACCCATACCACCGCACTGTGAGGCTAACCCAGAGCCGGATGGATAGGAGCCTCTGATGGGTACGGGACACAGGGCTTGGAGACGGAAGCCCTAGACTGTGCACCGCCCCCCTCCCAACAAGGGCTGCCCAGCGCACAGTAGGCCCAGGATAGTTATCTGTCCGGCAAAACTGGCCAAACCGGTTCAAAGGCAGCTTTTCGACAGTTTTTACAAGAAGCTGTACTCCCTTCTCTGAGGAGGTCTGGCCAGCCCAGCGCCCCCCCCCGCCCCTGCTCCGCACGTCTCTCCCGAGGCCTGGGCCTCACTGTCACTTTGGTCTCATGCCTCTCAACCCCCTACCCCAAGTCCTGGTCCTGGAAGGGACAGTCTAACAGAGAGACCTAGCTGGGGACCAGGGACCGGCCTCCCATGGTGTGTCAGCCAGCTAATTACTTCTTACTGGGTCTCAGTTTCCCCCTGGGGTGAAGTTAGAGCCCTGGAGGACAAGTCCCAGGAACTCCGCTCTCCCACCACCTGTAGCTTCCGGTACCATGCTCTGGGGCCTCGGGCACTCGCTCTGTGAGATGGATGAGCTGTCGTGCCCCCCCGCCCCCCACATCCCCAGCCCTCACGGTTGATAGCCTCGTCCACGGCAGGCAGAAGCCCAGATAAGCTTTTCTCCAAACACCCCTGGTTCCGAACTGCAGCTGGGAATGATGCTTGGGCCCTGGAGATCCAGTACCACATCCTGGGGGAGATGAAGTGGGGTCAAGGCTGGAGATGCTGGGGCCGCTCCATCTTTCCTCTGTGAGGCCCTCCAACAGGCTGGAGGAAAAGGGCCCACCAGCCTCAGTACCACTCACACTGTAGCTCTGGGCTCCACCAGGCCCTGGCCCTCCAGTGATGCCAGGGCTCTGGCCAGATGAGCTCTGTTCCCCTTGGGAGGGACACTCGGGACCTGTGTCCAGGAAGAAGGATGAGAGTCAGAAGTCCTACCAAGCTGGGAGAGATTTTTGGAGGAGGCCGTGAGGGGATGGGGTGGGGTATAGGCAAGGTGAGTAGTCTTGAGGACAGGGACTATATTGAGTACCCTCCAAAGGCCTCTAGCCAACTGGCCAAAGCAGTGAGAAAGCAAGGGACAAAGAGAGTTCCGGGTTCCAGGTCACTCCAGCAGTCTGTGGCAGGCAGGCCTGGCAGCTCTACATGGATCTCTTGGACACAGGAGGGCAGGGCTTATCCCCATCCTCAGGTTGGACCCTAGGGCATGTCACTAAGCTTTTCTATGCCCTCTACCCCAAGAGAAGAAGGTTAGTAAGCTGGGATTGGGGGCCAGGATGGGGACCACTGGGCTCAGCCCAGTGACACTGAGCTATGAAAACAGTTTCTTCAGCTATGAAAACGGATCACGGGGACTAGGGGGCAGTGAGGTCGTTTGGATTTCATTGTACTGTCATCCAGGGCATTATGATACTCCAGAGTCTGGTCCTGTGTTGGCCACAGTACACAAACCTCAAAGTCACAGCCCCAGGTCTGCACCAGAGGATGGATGGAGGACCAGGAAGGATGGAGGTATGGGAGGAGGGAGACCTGGAGGGATGGAAGTGAGCAGGCAAGACTGGAGTGGTGGAGAAGGAAGGGGAGGGTGAGAGAGGGAAGATTGGAGACCCGAAGGGATGGGGGAGAAAGGGGAAGGCTGGAGGCCTTGGGGTGGGGTGTGGAGGAGAGAAGGAAGTGATGGAGGCACCTGGCACCTCGTGAAATGAGGAAGAAAGGCAGAAGGACCAAGGAGACAGAGCAGGAAGCAGCAGCTGGCCTACATGTTGCCTCAACAAATATTTACCATCCAAACAAGAACATTTTTTTTAAAGACAGGATCAGAGAGATCTGAGAGATTATTTGTTTAGTAGTTTGAATATTTGTGCATCAGCCAAAACTTACTTTTATCACACTGGTGAACTTATGAAATAATACTGTATGAAATCTTTATAATAAAGCTGGGTGTATGTGCCTGTGATTCCCGGCATTTGGGAGGCCGAGGCAGGAGGATCTCAGCCTGGGACCAGCCTGGGCCACAGAACAAGATCCTGTCTCAAACTAAAGCAAACGGAACAACCATCAAAATAAAGCAATTGTTCTAAAAGAATGTGAATGAACGGAGTCAGAACACATCTTTTCCACCTCTTATCTGAACATAACAGAGTCACTGCTGGAGTCTGGATTCTTCATCACACACATGTCGGAGCCTCCACGTGCCCCTGGCATTTCTGCCCAGTGACTTCCGTGTGGTCCTTCTAGTTGGAAGGTTTATTTCCATCTCTTTTCCCGAGTGTCCTCCAGAGTTGCATTGTTGACTGGGGATCTGCTGCTGCCTTCCACAGACTCATCTCAGAAGACGGGGAGTGTGTTAGCAGGTAAAAGCAGTAGCTGAGAAAGGTTGAGGACCTGCCTTCAAATCTCCAACAGCCACATAGAAGTCCCGGTGAGGTCATGGGCATCTCTGTAAACCATAGCACCATGAGAGGAGACAGGAGGGTCACTGGGCTCGCTGGGCTCCAGTCAGCTCCAGGTTCAGTGAGAGACCCTGTCTCAGGGGGACATGGTGAAGAGAGAGCAGAAGATGTAATGTCCTCTTCCATCCTCTGCATGAGCTCACAGGTGCATACACTTCCCCCTACACACACACACACACACACACACACACACACACACACACACACACACACACACATACACACGTACGTACGTACTTAAAAAATTGTTTTTAAAAAGATAACACATGAGTTAGGAAACTCCCCTCTGGGGTGGGGGTGCAGCTCAGTGGTTGAGTACCTGTCTGAGTGTGTGAAGAGGCTCTGGGCTTGATTCACCAGGGACAGAAATGGAAGTACAACGAGCCATCTCTCTACAGGGCTGGAGTGGCTATCTCAGCCCAGATCTCCCTGCACATCCTGCCTTTGGCCTCTATTCAGCCAACAAATATTTGTACAAACCTTGTGGAGAGAATCGTCCCTGCTGAGGATTCTTTCCCATGGCTCCTCACGATACATTCTGCACAATCATGGTCCTCCTCAGTCTCACCCCATTGCATTGTGGGCTACATATGAATGGATTTCAGTGTGCACTCTGAGATGCTGCAGAAGGCTCCCAACACTGGCAGTTTGGGGTGTTGGATTGTTTGAAACACCAAATTAAAAGCTTCAAACCAAGGTCAGGTATGGTGGCTCACACCTGTGGTACCAGCCCTAAGAGGGTTCAGTCAGGAGGATGGCTGTGAGTTCGAGGCCAGCCTGGGCTACATAGTGACACCCTGTCTTAAAATGAAGAAAAGTGTTCTCATTTTTTAAAAAAATCAGTGCTAGGAATGGAACCCAGGGCCTTGTGCATCCTGGGCAACCATTCTGCACTCCCTAACCAATTATTACTATTATTATTATGGCTGTTATTATGATGTTTCTGTGTGTTGTTGCATGCCACGGCACACTCATCTGTATGCATACAGAGACCAGAGGGAGGGTGTTGGATGTATTTCTCTACAGATCTCTGCTTTGTTGCCTGGAGACAAGGTCTCTCACAGAACCAGACCCTGTTGGCTGGGCTGGCCAGCCATTGAGCTCCGAGGGTCGGCCTGTCTCTGTAATCCAAACCTGGGGTTCTGGGCACACAGACACACTTGGCTTTTTACATGGATCCTGGGATCCAAACTGAAGTCCTCATTTTTGTACAGCAAATCAATTCTTAAACGGGATTTCTATTAAAATGAGAACTCACTTTCCACAGCCCTCATCATAGGTCTGTTGACTGGATCTGCAGAGACTCTAGACTTTCTACCACAAGAATGACAATGGTGTGCTCTCTGGTGGCATCGCAGATGTGTGGCTGTCAGCTCCTCTCACAGGCACCAGAACACCTAGGGGACTTTGAGAAAGCCATTGGGGTAAATGGTTGCATGCTTGCCCACCGGTGCTTGGAGGCAGGGACAGGGGATTCCTAGAGCAAGCTGGCCAGCCAGAGGGCTGAACTGATGAGCTCAGAGTTGAAGTAAGGGATCCCACCTCAACGTAAAAAGTCGGAGCATCTGAGGAGACACTACTCAACCTCTGACCCCCCCCCCTCTCTCTCTCTCCTCTCACACACACACACACACACACACACACACACACACACACACACACACAGAGGCATCCACACAGGCATCCACACACACACACACACCCCACTACACACCAAACGTAATATGCATATATACAACACACCCTACATACCACACATACACACAACACACAAACACACACCCCCACACACCAAAGAAAACATACATACACCCTATACACCACACACACATACACACTACACACACACCACATACACACATATACACCACACACACATATACACCACACATAGACCACACACACACCACACATACCACACAAACACATATTTACCACACACACACACCACATATGCACATATGTATACACACACATACACCACACACACACACACACACACACACACACACACACACACACACAGAGTTTCTGCTTTGCTGTAGGCTGATGGTAGAGTCCGTGCATCCACCCAGCTTGCCCAGCTCCCACCGCTTCGTGCCTCTGATCAGAGCACTGTTCCCCACAGCACATCTGTCTCCATCGTTGCTGCTGGGTGGTGCATTTGCAACCACTTGGCTGAGTGGCTGTGCTGGCTAGTTCTCTGTCAACTTGACACAAGCTAGAGTCATCGGGGAGGAAGGAGTCTCAGCGGAGAAAATGCCTCCACGAGATCCAGCTGTACGGCATTGTCTCAATTAGTGATCAATGGGGGAGGACCCAGCTCATGGTGGGTAGTGTCATCCCTGGGCTGGTGGTCCTGGGTTCTATAAGAAAGCAGGCTGAGCAAGCCAGGGGAAGCAAACCAGTAAGCAGCATCTCTCCATGGCCTCTGCATCAGCTCCTGCCTCCAGGTTCCTGCCCTGTTTGAGTTCCTGTCCTGACTTCCTCCAATATGGACTATGATGTGAAAGTGTAAGGTGAATAAACCCTTTCCTCTCCAAATTGCTTTTTGGTTATGATGTTTCATCACAGCAATAGAAACCTTAACTAAGACAGTCGCCTTGGACAGGTTGGGGAAGAACTCACTGCTGTTGGGATTTGCTACCCACTGGTTCTACCCTGTGATTCTCCCTAAGCAGCCCCATGTTGCCATGTCCAGATGCTGGGTGTGGAGTACACTGAGGGCCAGAAGCTCAGAGTAGGCCCCGTCGTGACAACTGTGCTTTCTGCTGGCTCACAAACACCCACAGAGGGAAGAAGGTGAGTGAGACTCAGTCCCCTTCCTGACAGGCACCTCATCCAGCCAGGGAGGAAGGAGGACTCAGGACGCAGGTTCTATAGCATGCTACATACAGGTGACCTGAAGCAAGGTGGCTTACTGAGGATGTCACATCTGCTCCCAACCTGTTGTGACTCCAGGCTAGGGCTTGATGCTTCCCGGCGTGTCTCCGACCCTCTTCAGCGGAGAGCCATTCTTCTGCAGTTGTGGAGTTCTGTGGAGGACAGTGTGGGGCTCACTGGAATGCACCTGCATGAAGCCTTGTTGGAGAGCGAGCTTCCAGGAGCTGCCACAACCTGGTGCAGTAGTGACCGCTCCATCTCCAGCCTTCAGCAAGGGTCGAGACAACAACAGCACTCTGCCTCAGTTTCCCACTTAACACAATGAGGGGGCTGAACTGTGACATGCCCAGGACCTTGGGCACATGGGACAGGAAGGGATGTGCACATGGGCACACGAGATGGATGAGAACTGAGTTCTGCTTGTTTCTGCTCCTAAGAGGCTATATATACCTCCCAGCCAGACCCTGCCCCAAGGCCAAGGCTGCTCAACTAGAACCCACACCAGTGCTAAGGCCTCCTGCAGGGGCCTGGCTGCCTGCAGTCCAGCTGTAAAGGAAGAAAGGACAGGTTGGACCTGGCTTAGAGACAGTTCCCCTCCAATTAGACACCTGTACACAGCTAGTCATGAGGGTAAGCATCACAGAGCAGGGCAGAGCCAGCAGAGACCCTCATTCTGTTAGGTTCCCCTTGCCTATGCTACCCCTCTGGTCCATGGAGCCCCTGGCCTGTGAAGTACCTGATCTTTGGAGCCCCTTACCAATAGGCCTCTCATATGTGGAGGCCCTGGTCTGTGGGAGCCACATGGCTACTGCAAGCTTGAAGAGGTTACAGTGCTGCTACAGAGATCCTGGGTCAGCCAATCCCTCCTCTGGGGCTCAGGCTGGCCCTTAAGAATGACTATCTCTAAGCGCTGTCTGGATGGCCCTGAATTTGTTGGCTATTGCCAGAAGCGCAAAGGTGGGTGTTGTGGAAAATTAGTTTAAGA